GTTAAAAAGAATTTCCACACTCCGGAAAGGAAGAATCTCGGCCGCGTAGAGAGTTCCTTATGTCACACATTTTTGGAAAAGGCAACAGTGTCACATGTGACAACGTTAAATCGGCAGCATTGGGAGTAATACAATTATGGTAGGAAACAGAAGGGAGATGCCGAGTTTGGAGCAAAAATGTGGAGTCGTTCAGTTCAGTTATTAGGAATAACAAAAATAAACAACAGTGACATTCTACAAGTGCAAAAGCAATAATAAGGTTTTGGTTTTCAATTTCTTGCACAATAACTCTTCCATACAAGTCTGGAGAGAAGTCCGAGAATGTATTGTTTTAAAACTCCACGAAGTATGGGGTAAATGTACTGGACCAAACAGCAAGAGCACTCACTGTCAAGTCATTATCTCGACAGTTGTCAATCTAACTATTCTTCGACGTGCTGGATTTGGCAGGCATTAAATCCCGGATAATTTATTATCTCGTCCGGAGATAAATTATTCAACCGGTCGTATCTATGTGTCTAGCGGAAGAGCTGTGCGGACCTATGCATGAGACTAGGAACGTGACAACTGGACGTACCTCGAACACCTGAGCCTAGTCGGAAAGACACAAGATTAGTAAACGTCGGCAGTGTCAGATTGGTTACTCTAGGCAACAAGTCACAAAACACACGCTCTGTATGTGAAAAATAGCTTGTGGCTAATGTAGACAAATTGCGAGAGTTATCACCTGTTTCAAGTGTAAAGCACGTAAAATTATTCTTAACATTTCGAAAAATTTAAAGTGAAATACAGTTACTTTTTAGTTACAAATATTTTTACACCTTGTTCTTACTCAAAAATTCCAAAACCAAAGTTGGTATAATCGAATACAGTAATGCGATCAATTTGACTGTTCTCGGGCGTTCTAGCTAGGACGGAGGAGCCGTCTTCATAGTGTTAACTACGAAAAAGCCGACAGTTTCTATGATTATACGTCAAAAGCCCCCAGAACACTACGTGCCATCCACGTTCGAGCAAAGCCAAAGCAAATAGTCTCCTACCTAATCATATTTGTCAACCATAAACAAAGAAATAACTATCTGAAGATTACTGAATATCAGAAAATAGCACATGCTGCCAGATCCCAAACTTGCATGTCCCCTCAAAGCTCACCACCGAACTACACTTCTTTCTCATTAGATGAGGGAGTGGAATCAAAACCACTCCCATCATTGCTATATCCAATAGAAGCAAAAAATCTCTTTTCACTGTTCTTGCAGTTTGTATACATTATACAAATGAAGCACTACCAAGGCAGGAATGCCCCCGTCTTCTTGCATCAATCATGACTTTTCAACCAGCAATATCAGTAAAACAAGCGGAAGTTTTGAATGTTAAAACAACGGTAAAATCCAATGTTGCAAAATACTGAAAGAGCGTGTTTTTCGGTACACTACAATACTTCCAATAGAAGCAAACAATCTATTTTCACTGTTCCTGCAGTTTGTACACATGGTACGAATGAATCACTAGGTAGGCAGGAACACCACTGGCTTCCTGTATCAACCGTCTCTCTTCAAACAGCAATAGCAGTGATCCCGACCGACAACACACCCACTTGCTTAATTGCATTGGAGACGGCATCATAACTGTATGCACTATCTATACCATGTTTGTGCCCTTCAATTTCAACCTTACGAATGTTCTCAACAACCCCCACCCAACACACACCGTTTTCTCTACTGTTGATCAATGCGAAATCTATCTACAAAAGTTTCGCTTTCTAAACATGATTGCACAGTTGAACATTCCAGGTGCAATCCTCGTCAATGAAATATGGTACTCTACTAATACGTTGGATTCAACTCTAACAATCCCAAACTACCAACTATTTCGTAGAAATCGCTGCATAAGGCGTGAGGGCTGATGTAGTATATATCTGCAACAAACATTCACAGCGATGTCTCTTGACCATCATGAGTTGGAAAAGGTCCCGCGATCCGAGACGTAAGCGGAGCTAAAGTTGGATATCGACTGAGAATTGATCGGCCAGCAATTACCAGTCCGCGTAAAACGAATCGAACTATACAGTCAATATGATAAACCCGTGGAGTGGAACTCACTCACACTGGCTGAAAACCGGACGCACAAAAATGAGCGATCTTGACCTCCTAAATTAGCATGTTTCGGCTACCTGTAAATACAGTTAACTTATGGTGTAGATAGACTCCCTGTTTACCCAGCATTGGTCTTCTGTATTCCGTCGGTTGGTTGGGCGCGTGACTGAGAAGTCAGACAGTCACAGTCTCATAGGGCAGCTAACAACAGTCGTCAGTGGCAGAGAGCAGAGGTAAAGAAGAAGCGTCACAACAGTGAAAGAAGAAACGTTACAACCGTATTCACTATCTATACCATGTTTGTGCCCTTCAATTTCAACCTTACGAATGTTCTCAACAACCCCCACCCAACACACACCGTTTTCTCTACTGCTGATCAATGCGAAATCTATTTACAAAAGTTTCGCTTTCTAAACATGATTGCATAGTTGAACATTCCAGGTGCAATCCTCGTCAATGAAATATGGTACTCTACTAATACGTTGGATTCAACTCTAACAATCCCAAACTACCAACTATTTCGTAAAAATTGCTGCACAAGGCGTGAGGGCTGATGTACTATATATCTGCAACAAACATTCAGCGATGTCTCTTGACCATCATGAGTTGGAAAGGTCCCGCGATCTTTGTGGTTACTTGACACTAGCACGTCCAATCATATACTTCTCGGATACATTTACAACTCTCCGAATGTCCCAACTGGTGATGTTGCCACGATCTGCTCCAAGTTTGTATAACATTCCGTAAACATGAATTATCTTTGTGGCTCATTGTGAATATTTTTTCGCTATAAAGTGGTTAGTGGATAGAAATTTATGAACTCAGGTACGTGATGAATATAATTTTATATACCTAGTAGTTGTCTAACGTACTGCTTGAGTTTGTCACCGACTTTCCAAGCAAATAATCCACTGATTACTATAAGATTAATTTATCACAATACTACATTTAATAAGACAATAGACATACTCCGATCCTTATATGAGACAGAATAGATCTCCCATCATCGACTCTAACAGTACTAAACACTTTTTATCCAATAGCTATACAACACATACCACACTCATAGAAATACTTCGTACAAACATGTAACACACGCTACACTACAACGCGAATAAAGTGAAAGATAAATCACCGACAACAAAATTGTAAGGACGGTATACGAAAATCTTACAACAATGGAGAGGCCACACAATCAAAATGGAAAGAAATGAGGAAACAACAAAAAAATAGACGCGATGGTTAAAAACAAAAAACAAAATTTTCCGTCATCGTACTCTTAGAACACAATTTCGTTTCAGGATTTTGGTTAAGATTATGTTCATTTGTCCTTTTCATTTGTTATCATTCAATCCTTAATTATGTTTTAGATTTTACAACCTAACCTCAACGGTAACTTTAATTAAAAACTAAAATCGGAAGGAAATTAATCAACTATGCAGGACGCATAATAAAATCAAACAATTTCAGAAGGACTCACAAAAAATATTCAGCTGCGATAGAAGCATCTCCAACAATAGCCCACTGACGAAATCATATTCCTTATCTCCTCTTTTAAAAAACAAGATTCCTCATTAGCGCTGCTACACTCCTCACGTTATTATCATATATGAACTTGCAAACCACTGCGCTACTATAATAAATTACACACACAAGACCGCAAAGTTATGCCAACAAACTGTTTTAGAAAGTGATCTCTTGTAAATGCAATCACTTAAAAAGTCGCTTTTAATACACTCGCCCAAATACGCTATTTGCAACGACCTCGCCCCAATTTGTGCTTTTAATATCTATTTTGCATTTATTTTCAAGTCTACATAAAAGAGATTGACAACATCAGAAAATTCAAATTTGTCTTTGCAATCAGAAATTTTAAATCCGGTGTTACTCATAGATCACCTCTTTTTAACGAGAATCTTCACACTCTTTGATGAAAAATCTAGAGCGATCGAAAATTTCGACGAAAAAAATAAACGCACGATTAAACTATATCCCAAGGTATTTAATATGAATCAAAACTTATCTTTATGCAGTCCACTGAATCCACTCCCCCGCTTTTGAACGCCAAATTCGAAACAACTCAAACAGAAAATGTGTGGACATGTCTCAGAAACCCATCCGGTCCACGCATACTGGGATATTTAACGCCTCCCTATGCAGACACGGAAGTTAATTAAGACAGGAGAATTAAAAGGAATGTTCGAAATTCCAAGGTCATTAACAAACAATTATCAAAATAACACCTAAATTTCCGGAACTTTCAAACATTCAACCAAGCCCCTTTTGATTCTGCATCATAATTTGTTGCACCAGAAAACGTATTCTTTCAAGTCACCGTAGGCTTTATGCACCCGGGTAGATGCAATTTCAACATGAAGGTAAAGAGAACGATCAGTTACAGTCTAACCGAGATAAAACACTATCAAAGACTCCGCAACCAAAAAATTTCCGCTACTGTAATTAAAAGCCTAGAACAACTTTGCGCTATATGGAATATCCAGACGTATCTGAATTGTGGGCCCCAGCGCGAAAAAGACGAATCAGTCAATCCCATAAGTAGAATAAATCAAGTTTTACGGAATACCTGATGTCTAACGTATCCGCTCATTTATACACTCACGCTCCGCATCAAGGGACTGTATGTGTCAGATCGATTCAACCCACATTTGTGATGAGTGTGGCACACTTAGCAGGGAGGCAGTTTTATGTTTTTGGCCAATTTTATCACGGAACAGTGAAGTATGCTAATCTCGTAGCTACAGAAACAACAACAAGGGTAAGAGGAAATGAGTGGCCAAACAAATCGTTGCAAAGGTCAAAAAAGCCAGAACGCATAGGAGAGGTACTACATGCATAGATAGGCTAAAATAAAGATATACAAGGTAGATCGTATGGAAGACTCACACGAGCGCGGTTTTTATCCAGTGGAAATTGATGGAGATACGAGCGGAACATATCGCAGAGTTTAGAGTGCGTGCCTAGGACGCTGGCGTCCTGCACCACAATTGCGCATACAAGATTCTGTCTGAACAGCATCTCCGGCAGTACAGCGCACGCGTCATCTATAACAGAAAAGCCGGATGTTAATGCACCAGTCACCGTCCCGCACGATTAGAATACCAAGCAATAAAAAGGGTGTCAGAATTGAAGCGGTTACTGTGTCAAAAACGGAGGCAGAAGAAGGGCTATGAAGCTCCATGCTAGACCATATAGTCGGTTTTATCAAATCTGCAGATCACAATCGATAGTGGGTGCTTAATCCTGGTCCATGGACTCCACAAGGATTTCATGCACATTACTGAAAAACAGACGAAGCCAGTAAACCGGCGGACAGATGTTTTGGAGCTTGCTAATCCAGTTCCGAATTCATTGGCGAGAATGCGCAACGTAGTCATAGACAGAAGGAAGTCTAGCACTTCCGGATGCCGATGACTACTTGACCGGATGCAGGTGCGGTGAATTCCAGTAAACCCATAAATCTACCTACTGTTTCTCATCAGACTGAGGCAGTACTATCAGCTAAAGGTTAAGCGCGGCTCTGCCATAAAAGTATAGAGTAGGAATAAGCCGAAGACATCACAATAACATCAACCCCCCCCCACAACATGCGGTTCGAAATCGGGCGATGATCACTCGTAAGCAAGGCGTCAGGAGTACACCGGTACCGGATTCGAATCGAAATTTTTTGGGCCACAATGCAGACACCCCATCGACTAGGTCGCCGGCCGACCACATATTGGTTTCCAGCTCAGGAGGGAAGGAGGTAGCTCGGTGCAAGGGATGATAAAATATGAATTTCCTACAGGTGGCACATTGAACAACCTCCCCAACCGCTGATGTGACTTGTCTCGAGGCCCCTGCTCACAGAGACAAGTGTAACACAGCAAGACCAGGTTATCCAGCCAACTACATCCCACATTTTCATCGTGTTTTCAGCTGGCCACTCTAACGCTTCATCAATTATATTCGGCGGTACAAACAATGCAGGCACTTCATGTTATATGGACGTTTCAGTGCTGCATCAGGTGATTTGTTATCAAACGTGAAAGATGGAAACAGGTACTAGCTATTCGGTGCTGACAGCAATTGTGAGCAAGGCCTCGCAGACATTGGTGTTCAAAGACAATGGCTTAATGAATTTAACAAGTAGTGACCATGTGTCACACACACAGAGTAACGCTTGATCACCTGCAGCATTATAGTCCCTAGATTTGGTTTCCGAAAGTTAGCATCTAAATGACGCGCACAGTAATCTGCTCGGTAGTATGGCCATGGGTTAATATCTATACATGGGCATTCTACGGCGTCTTCAAGAATGACAATGACGCTCAGCAACCTCTGATCAAAGGATTCTTCAGTGTGCCAAGTAGAGTACAACAGAGAAGCCAGATGGATGACAAGTGCGGCATCACCGTCTGGAAACAACCGTATCCAGCCACCTTGTCTCATCTTAACAACTCGTGCAAAAGTTTGGGTTTTCGGTGACAATATTTCAAAAGATTCGACAAGCAGTAGTGATAAGGCCAACCGGGTTATTTTCTCAGAATGTTTCATGCGAAGTTCAAGTAGTTGCATGCAGGTGTGATATAAGCGCTCATTGTTCTCACTGATTATTCACTAATCGTCATTTCCATGTCGACAAAGATTGGTCCTGTAACTAGTTTCATGAAGATCTCAGTACTCCGAAAGCAGCTCATTTGGGCAGTAACTACACACCCGCAGCGGGTGTCATATCTGTAGATTTGGCAACGTTGTTCGCATTTCATGACATGTAATGCTCACCATCACTTCGTTCAGCTGGATGAAATTCCAAAGTACCCAGGCAATAACGTAGCGAAAAAGCATGAGAAAATCACGGAGAAACTGAGGCGGGTTCGTGTTTACCGCTTCCAAAAATGGCGTCCTCGATACTGACTGCATCGGATTTGGACAGGTCATGAATTCAGTGGCGGTCTTGCACTTAATTCGTTAAGCTACCCTTGCGATTCCATCCGACTATTGTCCATCTTGCCTAATTTCCTAAAATTTTATCTTAATGTGAACCGAGACAAATGGATCCAACGCGGGTCGGTGCACAGATAGTAGTTGCTTAGTTGTACTGATTTGAACTAAGAAACAAGCAGAGGAATGGAAGCCATGGGGCAGGGTCTTGTGACCACATGACACCCCTGCTACACGTAGTGATCACCGGTCGGTTACCGTCAACACTAAATGGCTTTGTGTACCATGACAACTTAAAAATCATACATTTGGTCGCGATAACCGAGTACATACAACTCCAATCTCAGCGACGGCTCTGAGACACAATTCGGAGATGGTGAGAAGCACCACGACCGTTTTTGGACCAGGCTGGAGTCCAGTGTCAAACCGAAAAGACTTGAGGGAATCAACAATAACCACCGCGCGGACTCTGCACACCTCACCCGATGAAGATTTATCGGATTATTAAAACTGATTCTTTGCGAACACTGACCAAAGCAAAATGAGGGTATGCTCATTGAAGAGGTGCCCAGCCAGAGATGATGAGAGCGGTGCTGCGCAAAAATCAGCGGTTAGATCCTTGCATGTGCAGCCGATCACAACTGCAGTCTTTAGACAGTGGAACAAGGTTGAAGTTAATTCCCAAATCGTCACTTTTGCTGACAGAGAAGAGTGCACTTGCACTAACCTGTCCTGTCCTAATTCCATGTAGTCGAGCACAACCAAATCCACTCAATATCTAAAGAACTATATAACAGACATCCGGTCAGATCGGTGACCGAATGGTTCATGCATATAGCTTGTACTCCACAGGTCATCGTTTTCAGTCATTTTAGGTGCAGGCGACTTTAGATAAATAAATAAATGGTGTATATCTCGACAATACGAGGCACAGTCCAAAGATGGTGTCCTCGATACCGGTGTGTTTCTCACCCTCAGCTAAGGTGTATTGATGATGACCGTATCTCGAACCCCACAAGCGACTGCTGGTGGACGCGTAGCATTGAAGCGTTGGCAAGAGAAACTGGTTCACTGCTAGTGCCTCCTCACTTGATGGGACGGACACGAAGCAAGACAAAGTAGCACTATAGAATAGTGTAGTTCCATTCTGGGGCCGGTGACATGCAATGTGCCATAATACATGAATACTCTATTTCTAAGGAAGAATCAGTGATCCAAAAAGTATAAAAGACCAATGCAACAGGGCTAACGTGTTATCAATCATAGAGACACCAGTTTTTGACGCCACTTCGCTTCATGGTCAGGTATAACGGTTACGATTACCCTCGACTTACACAATGAACCAGGCCTGATGGTTCTTGGCAATGAAGAATGAAGAGGGGATGAAGAGCAGCTACACATATTACTGCAAAAGCGCAAACGATGCAGACCGAGGCGTCTACCGTTTGTCAACACCATACAGTCAAGTAGTTAGCTGTCATGTGGAGACAGATCAGCATCGATAAGTCAGTTTCCTTTCGACGCTCACTGATTAACACATCATGATCAACCTTGCTCTATAGATGATTTAGCACGAAACGAGTTATAACATGCGGTTCGGCTGAGAAAAAAGAGAACATGCCACTGATGCCGGGCGAGTTGCGGGGATCCGTCTGGATGGCTACATGAACCAACAGCACCATATTTAGTGTCGAACTGCGCAATTCTCCCTACCGTATCAGTGGTAGCCTGAAAAAAACAGCTTTCGCAATGAGAATATTCAAGCTACAGCTGTCAACCCCTAGATCATGGGTCGTAAATTGAATAAATCACGAACGCATCCGTGAAGAAATAACGGACTGAATTTGCGCTGCAGATCAATTGGGTTGCGTTTCTGTTCTACAACTAAAATACATCTTCGAAGCTGAGAAAAGATGTCAGCACGCCACTCTTTTTCAAACTAGCTGACGCTGATCACAGATGCATTCGTGACTCTTCGTTGATCAACCCATTAGCCATAACTCGCACCACTCAGCTCATCTGAGCGATTCCTGTTCCTGACAAACAGATCAAAAAAGGAAATCAGTGCATGGAAGTATAAATCTCCCTTAGTCCACCTACAACTTACCAACATTTTGCATCAGTTCACATTTCAGGTACATCAACGAATGGGGACTGATTTCGTTTTACGAAATTTCGGCACCTAGATCCCCGGAACACTGTTGCCTTTGGAACGCAGAGTGCTTGTGTCATGTGACACATTCGAATGAACTCTTCAAGTCCGTATTATGCTTACTGACAATTCCGTTAACTGACACAGGCGCGGGCATTTTGTGTGCGGATGAAATGTTTTATGAACCTTACTTTTATACTTAGTCATTCGGCGTATCCCCTTTTTCTGCCTGACGGGGATTGGGCCATTCCGACAATCAGCAATTGAGAATCCCGGAATACGAAAATCATGAGATGAGTAAGGAATTGTATCGGCACAATACGACTCGGATACGTCAGTTCGCATCATACAAAACCTGGAACAAATGCTCAGTTGATCAACTATTCGATTTTCTCATGCATTTATGTGATCTGGCGCGTGTGGGAGCAGCTTCTTGCGTAGTGGAGAAATACCCCATTCATTTATCTACACCAGGGGTTCTCTAACCTTTTAGCCTGTGGACATCTTGTTGACGGAAGCTCGCATGGCGGACCCCTTGAAATATAGTTAACCAAAAGAATAGGCCTTAATAATATGAGGATTAGGTGGACTGTCCTGGAAACGTTCATTACTGTAAACTGAATTACCACGGGCGTTCATTAATGTCAATAATAAATCTGCTGAATTTAATGCGTGGGATGAAATTGTTTCTGATATGCAGTGCTGACTTGTTAGATATTGGGTGTTATTGAGGAAAGCTATAACCTCCTATCTGATTCAACTTCAGGCCTATTGCGGTACTTAGCTTCTGTATAGGTATAATGCGAAAATGCACTTTCACACAGGTGAGTTGTGGCAAGTAGAAAAAGCACGGCGAGAGCCGTCCTCGCTTTGAAACGGTACTCGTTCTTTATTTTACACCAGAAATCAGACAGCGACAATTTGTGAAACTTTTTGAAGGGAAAAATCTAGTATCATGTCGATGGATTT